AACCACTCCCACCAATGTTGTGGTTGAGCGAACTGACACCTTGATCCTTAAAAAAACAACACATTTCAGCATATTCTAGCCATGAGAGCCTCACCCGCATTTTCAACAGCATCGTATCCCACTCCTTGGTGATAGAGACTGCTAGACAGAAAGTATATCCCATCTGACTTATTGGCAAAACATCTGCTGTCAACAGGGTCTGATTCTTCCTACTTCTGAACCCACACTTGCTGATGGAGCCTAAAAAAATAAACAGAGACTTCTACAGGGCTGGGCAGGGGACAATGGGGTATTTTTGGCATTTGTTACACCAGATAAGTTACTTAATTGAGTTAAGGCTAAACGGGAGTATGTTTTCAAAGACTTGAGATTCTCTCCACAGGACAAAAAACCCTGATTTCATTACTAACGTAACAATTTTTTTAGCTCAGCACCATTTTTTTTTAAAAGGATGTGGTCATCAGTGTTTGTTCTTTGGGCAAAATTCTTTCCAAAATAAAATATCTTGTATTCAAAGCAGATCTGGTTCAAGATGACAGTGATCTTCAAAGTTAGCAGGAGGGTCATGTCCCGTCTGCTCCACAGATGCTAGATCAGAGGGGACCTCATAAGGTAAAAGGCCAATTCTGAAAATCAAATTCCTTATGAGACTTAAACATCCTGTATGTCAGTGATACAGAATCACATTGAAGTTGCCCTTGCCTCTGCTCCATTCTTGAACACACTGGAAGTTAGTAAGCATTAGGCTGAGGACCTTTCCAGAAGATCCCAACAAAAGCCACTTTCGTGTTTGTAGGAGAAAATATTTTCTTCATCTTCAACAGACTCTGGACTGTGGACCTTTTCTTATAAACCTCCAGGTCTATGTTATCTCCTCCATGTGTCCCAATAGTGCTTTTTTATTCCAATCTTGAGCGAGTTCAGACGTCCTTTCCTCCTGATGTTGAGCTGTGTGTGTTCCATAAATTGCATGGAACAGAAGGTCTGGGCCCCAGAGTCCTAATCAATGAATTTCATCTCTGTTCCATGAGGTCATTTCCCACACACTTAAGGATGCATTTGTATTCTCTCCTCGTATCTTCTTTCTCCAGCCCAAGCACACACAGCCCCTGCCCTCCTCCAGGGCATGGTGACCTTGAGTCACCTTGCCTGCCTGGTAGCTTTCCTCAGCTCTGTTTGTCCTTTTAGTGTCTCCTCTGAATGATAATTAATAGCTGAGGAGGGATGATTAGGGAAAACACACTCTGTGCTGAAGGCTAGTGGTTCCATAGCACCCTCCTTTGTTTCTGCCTCTCTGATGCTGCTGGAACTGTGGTCAGGCACCAGTTGTCAGTCAGAGATTGTCTCCCAGCTCCTTTTAGATCCCCCCATGGCCTCCAGGAGAAAGGGTCCTGCCTCTGCAGGTTCCCAAGGACATTGGGCACATCCTTCTTCGTGCTGTTATCCCCTGAGTGATAGTGAGGCCTGGAACAAGTTCAGGGGCCTTGTGCTAAAATGGTAGAGCTGGCTTTCTAGGCACTTCCAGAGTATTCTAAGTCACTGTGGTAACTTCTCTGTACTTCCACCAGAAGTAAACTTCTGTTCCATTTTTCTCTGGAGGACATGAGAGCTCTTTGTTACAGCAGCACAGCTTTTACCTGACATGAGACCTTTCACTCTCCACATGCGCTTGAGAATGATACATTAGTGAAGCCCCAAATTATGTTATTACATGTGGCCTTTACAATAACTTTGACTCTAAGGAACATATAATCTGGCCCAAGTTGAGTTCAGAGACATGGCAAATATCATTTGTGTATTCAGCTTGTGCTTGCTTTGCCCATGTCGGGCACCCTGTTTGGTTACAAGGTGGCTGCTGTGTGTCTAGACATTACATCCATAGATAAATTGTCTACGGAAGAAGAAGACTATTTCCCTCAGTCCTATTGCATTTTATTAGCTATGAGGAAACTTTTGAGAAGCCCTCAAAATTTCTCCTCATATTCTTTTCTAAAACGATCATGGAGAAATGGATTAAAGAAGTAATTTAGATGGATCATTTGGGATAGTCAGAATTTAAGCATCAGCCACCATGACCGCAGTAATAGTATCATGGCCTCCATGGCCACCCCTTTAGATTCCATTGCTGTGCAGTGTCTTTGCTCCTTCCTTCCTCTTATAATGGTGCTTTCATTTTGCAGTTATAAACATAGCACTTGGTTATTTATTACTGATATTATATTTTTGCATATTTAATTCATCACAGCATTCCAGGTTGAATGATATTCTACTAGTTCTTAGGTTTCAATACTGAATCCAGGAATGTTTAGCAAACACCTATTATGTTCTAAGCACTGAGAAGAAAAGAATTCCTGGAAGATCTCACAGTTCAGTGAAAAGCAATGAACAGACCTGTGTGGAGAGAATCTAAGCCTGAAGCCAGCTAGGCAATGCCACTTAAATCAGGATACACAGAACCAGGCTGAAGACTTCTGGAGGAGAGTCTACCCCAAGGAGAGGCAGCCAAAGCCAGTGATGGACATTCATTTGTGTTTTTTATTTTTCCTTTTTTCTTATAATATCCTTATCTCATTTCACTATCAGGATAAAGCAGCCATCTTGGAATGAATTTGGAAATAGTCTCTGCTTAAGTTTTCTGGATGAATTTGTATGGAAATTGATGCTCTTTCTTCCTTCTTTCCTTCCTTTCTTCTGGTACTAGGGATTGAATGCATAAAATACCATTGAGCTATTTTACCAGAGATTTTTGTTTTTTTATTTTGAGACAGGGTCTCACTAAGTTGCTTAGGTTCTCGCTAGAGCTGGCCTCTTGCAATCCTCCTGCCTTGGCCTCCTGAGTCTCTGGGGATGATAGACAGGTGTGCACCACTGCATCCAATAAAACTATGTCTTTCTTAAGTTGTTGATGTAATTCACCAGTGAATAACACAGGCCTGAAATTTTCCTTGTTAGAAAAATTTTAGCTGTGAATTCATTTTGTTTAGTTTGTTTTGGTGCTGGGGATTGAACCCAGGGTCTTGCACATGATAGGCAAGTGTTCTACTTTACTGGGCTATACCCCAAGCCCTGTGCATTCAATTTTTTAATAAATATAATACATATTCAACCTATCTGTTTCTTTTTAAGTAAACTTTGGTAATGTGTATCTTTGGAGAATTTTGCCATCTCATCTAAGTTGTAAAATATAAGACATAAATTTATTCATATTTGTTTTTATCCTTCCAATATCTACAAAATATGTAGTGATATCATCTTTGCCTTTCTTGATATTGTGATTTGGATCTCCTGCCTCTACCCTAATCATTCTGAGTAGAAGTTATCAATTTTATTGATGATCTCAAGGAACCAACTTTTGGTTTCATTGGTTTTCACTATTTTGACTGTTGTCTAGTATACTGATTTATGCTTTGATCTTTAGTATTTACTTTCTTCTGCTTAAGTTGGGTTTACTTTATTCTTTGTTTCTAAGTTCTTCACATACAAGCTGAAGTCATTCAAGACTATTCTTCTTTTGCAATCTATGCATTTAGCACTATAAATTTCTCTCAAAGTAATTCTTAAGGGCTTGGTCAGTAGCTCAGTGGCAGAATGCTTGCCTGGAGGGTTTAATGCTTAGCACTGCATGAAAATGAACAAATAAAATAAAAGTATGCTATCCATACACAACTACAAAAAAATAAAAAAATAAAAAATAAAAAAGAGGTTTCAACCAGGGGTTTCAAGAGGGTATATTTTCATTTTCATACAGGTCAAAATACTTTCTAATTTCCCTCTTGATGTGTTTGGTGATTCATGGGATATTTAAAAGTGTGTTATTTAATTTGTATGTATTTGATGATTTTCCAGATGTCCTTATGTAACTGATTTCTAATTTTATTCTGCTGTGGTTAAACAGCATACTTCCTAAGGCTTGAACCCTTTGAAAATTATTGAGGCTTGTTTTAATGGCCCCAAATATCATATAACTAGGTAAATGTTTTGTTTGCACTTGAAAAGAATGTGTGTTCCACTATTTTTGAGGGAGGCAATCTACAATGTCATCTCGGTCAAGCTGGTCGACAGCATTGTTCAAGTCTGTGAGACACTGCAGAGTTTCTATCTATCAATCATGGATAGAGGGGTATTCAAATCACCTAGTGTACCTGGAGGAGTCTGTTTTTCCTGCGCTTATGTGGGGTTTTCGCTTCACATCAGTCTTATTTTCATTCTCTGTATGTAAAGTATCTTTTCTTACTGTTCTTAATATTTTCTCCGTATCCCTGGTTTCAGGCGATTTGATTACAACGTGCCTCTGTGTGGTTGTCTTCAAGTTTATGATGCTTGGCTCTAGCTGAGCTTCTTGGAAATGGCTTTTACAGTTTTTGTCAGGACTGGAAATGTCTTGGCCACTTTTATTTTAAGTATTTTCTGGAAACCCCTTCCCCACACACACTTTTCTTGACCTCAACTATAAGAGACCTCTTGAGGTTTTTCTGCAGCTTACTGACATTCCTTTCATTTAAAACAATCTTTTTCCTCTCTTTTTGTTTCATTTTAAATATTTTAAGTTGCTACATCCTCAAGTTCACTGGGGTTCTTTTGCAATGTCTAATCTTCCCTGAATCCTAAGCAGCATATAGAATCTCAAACATTATAGTTTTCTTCTCTAAAACTTCAATTTGTTATTTTAGATTTTTTAAAAAAATACATCTTCCATATCACTGCTTAACTTTTTTTTCACTACTTGGAGTTTTTGGATAAAGACACTATAGTCATAACTCCTTTATGCCTACGCCTCCTCAGGGCCTAACACTGGTGCCAGTGCTGAGATGGTTTTGATTGACTGATTTTTCTCTTTATGATGGACCATCTTTGTCTGCTTCTTTAACTATGTGGCGTAGAGTGTATTGGATCCCAGACTTGTGGATTTTACCTTGTGGACTCTTGGATGCTTTTGCATTCCAGTAAACATTCATGACCTTTGTTCTGGAATGCAGCTAAGTCACTTGGAAACAGTTTGAGCCATTTGACTTTTGCTCTGCCCATGTGTTGGGCAGGTCTTGGGCAGCTTTACTAGAGGGTTAATCATCCACGCTACAGAGGAGAGACCTTTCTGAAGCTTTCACCTGGTGCATCCTAGGTTTGGGTGTTTTCCTTCTGGCCTATTTAAGCTCCAGGGTCCGTTCTCATCCTCTTGGTTTGTTCTTCCAGCCTTGGGCACTTTCCTCCCCAGCGTTTGCCAATCCACTCTAATGAGTACTCCTGCAGGAACCCTCCATGGGTCTATGGAACTTCCTCTCTGTCACTCTCTCTGCAATCCCTCGCTGTCTTGGACTATCCAGCTCTTATTTCCATGGTCTACACTCCAAGGGTCTGCTGAATTTGGCCTTGGCTTCTCACTCTATGCTACATCCTGGAAACTCTCACAAACAGTATGCCAGGGCCAATATACAGCTCATCTTGTCTGCTGACTCTCAGGGATTACTCTCCTTTATACTAATATTTCATACATTTTTCTGTTCTTTTTTGTTGTTGTTTCAGTTGATTCAAGAAGGAAGGTAAATCTGATCTCATGTCTATCTTGTCTGGAAGCAGTTTATTAAAGAGTAAGGATCTGATTGTTCCACTCCTAGGGAATTAGTAAGATAAATTACAGTTTATGACAATGCAAAGGTTTGTACATGAATGCAGCTTTATTTGTAATAGCCCCAAACCGAAAACAACACAATTGTCCTTCAATAGGTGAACAGGTCAATAAACAGGTACATTGTCCACACAATGAAATTCTGTTTGGCAGCAAAAAGAAATGACCTCTTGAAATGCAGCTATGTGGAAGAACATCACAATACTTAGTGCTGAGTGAAGGAAGACAGACCAAAGGAGATACTAGGAAACAGGGCCATTCACAGAAAATTCTAGGAAGAGCAAACTGATATAAAGGGACTGAAAACAGATCCATATCTTTGGAGGGATCAGAAAGAGGCACAAGGACATATTTGGGCTGACAGAGATGAACTCTTCTGGACGTGGAGATGGTTTCACATGTGGGTATATATTGAATTGTGCACCTGAAGTACCAAATATATCTCAATCAAGCTGTTGAAAAAGTGATCCTGACACCTTGTGGATGTTACCCTATTCCTTTGTTTGGTACCAAGGATTGAACACAAAGGCACTTAACTACTAAGCTCCATCCCCAGCTCTTTCTATTCTTTATTTAGAGACAGGGTCTCATTAGGTTGCTGTCAGCCTTGCTAAGTTGCTGAGGCTGGCTTTGAACTTGTGATCCCCTGCCTCAGCCTCCCAGCTACTGGGATTAGAGGC